CCCCCCCCCCCCCCCCCACCTCCAAATTTTACATAGACTATTGTTTTCAAATCCTCTTGGGAGGAATGTGTATTCCCAAAAGGATATGAAAACAATACCTTAAGCAAAATAGGGGGGCGACAAACAGAGTGCATTATGAGGGATTCGAAAATAGTCACTGGGAAGGAGGTGCGTGAGCACCCGTCGCACCTCACTATTCTCCTCTACGGAGCCATGGGATTTTTTTGGCCGCGAACAGACGAAAGCTCCGGAGTCGAAAATACCTCCTACGTACATGCATCAGAAAGACCGCACTCTGATTAAAAGGGTACATCTCCTTCGATTTTTTTATCCTTCTCTTCTGCAAAATCTGCTTTCTCTATTTGACAGTCACACCAAGCGCTAGTCGAAGCCTTTCAAAATGTAGACTACATGGTTTTAAAATGGAAACATTGAATAGTGTTCATTACTTAACAAATCTTAGAAGCTCGTTGCTGGTCACGAGCCGTATCTCTTGTTATGAAGTAGCCTGTGCCAGACTCTCAGAAAGTAGAGACGCCGCGAAAATAAAACAAGCCAAGCGAAAATAGGACTCGTGCGATCTGCAGGGGCTGTGTCCCCCGCGCGTATTTCGCATCACTTTTTACTGTACGACTGCAACACTATCTTGGAGTCCGGAACAGATTAGTAATGAAGTAACGTTTGAAGTAACGTTTGACGCCCACGTATGGTATGCCCAAGCGACTAGCGTAAATTAAAAAGCTTTATACCGAAACGGATGATAAAAAATATTTGTTAATGATATATGAAATAAATCATATATGAACTGCGGATATGAATTGAAAAAGAAATGATCGTCGCAGTGAACGCAATTTATGCAATTGCGTAAGAAGCCTGAAAAAAAAAAATTCAGGACTTCAACGGGGTTTGAACCCGTGTACTGGCGATACCGGTGCGATGCTTACCAACTGAGCTATGAAGCCACTGACGTTGGGAGAAGGTCAATTGTGGGTTCATATGTTCCCGTGAAAGAAATGAGTGTTAATTATATATGAAAAAAATCATATATGAACCCACAATTGACCTGCTCCCAAAGTCAGTGGCTTCATAGCTCAGTTGGTAGAGCGTCGCACCCGTGTCGCGAGGTCACGGTTTGAAAACCCGTTGAAGTCCTGAATTTTTTTCAGGCTTCGTTACGCAGTTGCATAAATTGCTTTCACTGCGACGATCATTTCTTTTTCAAAAAAATATTTGTTCATACTTTTCTAACGTCACTTATGAAAGAAATTCGTTAAGTTAAATGAGCGAATCGATTGCAGGATCAAGAGCTGGTGATGGAATACTCGCAGGAGCAACTGAACTTCTTCAGACTCTGTTGTGTAGTGTTTGATTTGGTCCCAGAAGGCCTGCGGCAAATTTTCAAAAACGAATGGGACTTTCGTTACAAGACGCCACTCGGAGAATGGAAAGACACGGCACAAAATGGTCTTGATTTCTACAACAACGAATCGAAATCAAGTCACAGGAAAAATGGCCGACTGCTTGCGACAATACAAAATGGTAACACGGCCGAGTGGGACTGCACCTGTTTGTTTTTTGCCATCCTGTACTCAGACAGTATTGGTACCACCTTAAGTTCAGTTGTCCAGAAAGAGGTCGATGATATTCGTCAGGTGCGAAACGAGATCGCCCATATCACTGAGGGCAAACTGGCAGATGCTGACTTCCAAACCCTAGTGGATCGAGTGTTGAACGCTTTTACATCCCTTGGTCTTGCTATTACTGAAGTCCAAGAAATAAAGAATCAGATGAGCTTTCCAACGACAGAAGTGGAAAAAACTAGGAAGCAAGCTCGTGATCTCCAAGCCGAGTTAAAACAGACAAAATGTGACTTGAAGGAAAAGGAAAGCAGACTTCAGCGTACAGAAGCTGATCTGGTTTCTACAAAAGAAGAAAACAAGGCTCTCACTCAGGAAATAAATTCGAAAACTCAGCCATTTTGCTTTCTCAAATCGCGTCCCCCACATGATATTATCAAGCGTTTGGATGACATTGAAAGAATTAAAAACAAAATGGAGGAGCTTTACAATGGTGCTAAGGGAGCAGTTAGTGCTGTGTATTTGTCAGGAAATCCAGGATGTGGTAAGAGTCAACTTGCACGGGAAATCGGACAGCAGTTTTATTCTGAACGAAACGATGACGTTAAAGAATTGATCTTTGTTGCGACACTGAACACTGAAAGCGTTGAAACACTTGCTGACTCTTACCTTACCCTTGCCAAACACTTACAGATGACTGAATACGCCTTGAAAGAGTTAGAATCTTTAAAAAGTGAAAAGCCTCTTGAAGCAATTCAGCAGCTCCATCGGTTCATCATACCAAAAGCCAGCAAGTTTACCANACACTTGCTGACTCTTACCTTACCCTTGCCAAACACTTACAGATGACTGAATACGCCTTGAAAGAGTTAGAATCTTTAAAAAGTGAAAAGCCTCTTGAAGCAATTCAGCAGCTCCATCGGTTCATCATACCGAAAGCCAGCAAGTTTACCAAATGGCTTATTATTGTGGACAATGTAATTGACTTACGTTTAGTCCGCGGCTTGCTACCTCAAACAGGCAGCGTGGAATGGGGCCATGGTCAAGTCTTGATTACCACTCAAGATAGTGGAGTAATTCCTCAAAACGCGCCTCATACGTATCATGAATCTTTAAGTAAAGGAATGAAGTTAGATGAGGCGGTGAAACTGCTGGAAACACTAACGCAAATTTCAGAGCCAGGACAAGAAGAAATTGTCGCAGAACTTCTCGATTTTCAGCCACTGGCCTTAGCTGCCGCTGCTTATTACGTGCAAACTGTTGTAAACAGTGGGTCTTTAAATTATGATTGGAAAGCGTACCTCGACGACGTATCAACATACAGCCAAAGAAATGAGATTGAAAGTGTCCTTGCGACTGAGAGTTCAGCATATTCTAAAACAACAATGGCCGCTGTAGAAATGGCCATCAAGAGAGCTGCTGACGTTGACGAGGTTCTTCGTCTGACATTTTCTTTTCTTTCTCTTTGCGCTAAAGACGATCTCCCCCTCGAAACTGTTTCAAAGTTCGTCAAAGCCCAAGTAAAAGACCAGCCAGAGGAGTTAATAAAGGCAAAGATTGTAAAGTCTTCTTTACTTCTTGTTTATTCCGAAGAAGGAAATAAACCATTAACTTATTTGCGCTTGCATAAAATTGTGTATGAAGCTTTGAAGCAAGCCAAAACGTTAAACCTAAAATCATGGGAGAGTGACAAGTATATGGCAGAGGCGGTAAAGATTTTCAAGTCTGAACTTGAAGCAAATGGCGAAAATTATGCGTTTTGTAATAAATTGAGGCCTCATTGTGAATCTTTACTTAATCACATGACTTCAGGGTTCAGTATGGATCAATGCACTTTCAAAGAAAGGTTCACGCCCTTCGTAGATTTGGATATCGTTATCGATTGGCTGTGTGCAATTGCCAGTGTCTGTCTTCACAATTCTTATTTCTTCTTCGCGAAAAATGTGGTCAGTTTAGCATGCAACCTATTGGAGGGCATAGACGAAACTAATTCATGTGCATTAACTCGAACAGCGAGAATTTTCAACGTGAGTGGTTTAGTATACAAGACGCTGGGAAAACATAATCAGGCCAAAGAACTTCATAAAAAAGCACTTGTGACTCAAAAAAAGATTTTTGGTGAAGATCATGCCTCTGTAGCAACAATTTATAACAACCTGGCATCAGTGTACGACAGCCTGGGAGAATACAATCGAGCCAAAGAACTTAACGAAAAAGCGCTTGTGATTCACAAAAAGATTTTTGGTGAAGATCATGCCGATGTAGCAATAAGTTATAACAACTTGGCATCAGTGTACGACAGGCTGGGAGAATACAATCAAGCCAAAGAACTTCTCAAAAAAGCAATTGCGATTCGCAAAAAGATTTTTGGTGAAGATCACGCCGATGTAGCAGCAAGTTATAACAATTTGGCATCAGTGTACAACAACCTGGGAGAATACAATCAAGCCAAAGAACTTCACGAAAAAGCACTTGTGATTCAGAAAAAGATTTTTTGTGAAAATCATGCCGATGTAGCAATAAGTTATAACAACTTGGCATCCATTTACGACAGGCTGGGGGAATACAATCAAGCCAAAGAACTTCTCGAAAAAGCAACTGCGATTCGCAAAAAGATTTTTGGTGAAGATCACGCCGATGTAGCAAGAAGTTATAACAACTTGGCATCAGTGTACAACAACCTGGGAGAATACAATCAAGCCAAAGAACTTCACAAAAAAGCACTTGTGATTCGCAAGAGGATTTTTGGTGAAGATCATGTTGATGTGGCAAACAGTTATAACAATTTGGCAGTAGTCTACGACAGGCTGGGGGAATACAATCAAGCCAAAGAACTTCACGAAAAAGCACTTGTGATTCGCAAAAGGATTTTTGGTGAAGATCATGCCGATGTGTCAACTAGTTATAACAACTTGGCATTAGTGTACGACATCCTGGGAGAATACAATCAAGCCAAAGAACTTCAAGAAAAAGCACTTGCTATTCACAAAAAAATTTTTGGTAAAGATCATGCCTCTGTAGCAACAAGTTATAACAACTTGGCATTAGTGTACAACAGCCTGGGAGAATACAATCAAGCCAAAGAACTTCACGAAAAAGCACTTGTGATTTGCAAAAAGATTTTTGGTGAAGATCATGCCGATGTAGCAACAAGTTATAACAACTTGGCATCAGTGTACGTCAGGCTGGGAGAATACAATCAAGCCAAAGAACTTCTCGAAAAAGCAACTGCGATTCGCAAAAAGATTTTTGGTGAAGATCACGCCGATGTAGCAACAAGTTATAACAATTTGGCATCAGTGTACAACAGCCTGGGAGAGTACAATCAAGCCAAAGAACTTCACGAAAAAGCACTTGTGATTCGCAAGAGGATTTTTGGTGAAGATCATGCCGATGTAGCAACAAGTTATAACACCTTGGCACCCGTTTACGACAGGCTGGGAGAATACAATCAAGCCAAAGAACTTCTCGAAAAAGCAATTGCGATTCGCAAAAAGATTTTTGGTGAAGATCACGCCGATGTAGGAGCAAGTTATAACAATTTGGCATCAGTGTACAACAGCCTGGGAGAATACAATCAAGCGAAAGAACTTCACAAAAAAGCACTTGTGATTCGCAAGAGGATTTTTGGTGAAGATCATGTCGATGTGGCAAATAGTTGTAACAACTTGGCCACAGTGTACAACAGGCTGGGAGAATACAGTCAAGCCAAAGAACTTCACGAAAAAGCACTTGTGATTCGCAAAAGGATTTTTGGTGAAGATCATGCCGATGTGTCTACTAGTTATAACAACTTGGCATTAGTGTACGACAGCCTGGGAGAATACAATCAAGCCAAAGAACTTCAAGAAAAAGCACTTGTGATTCGCAAAAGGATTTTTGGTGAAGATCATGCCGATGTAGCAGCAAGTTATAACAACTTGGCATCATTGTACAATAGGCTGGGAGAATACAATCAAGCCAAAGAACTTCACGAAAAAGCACTTGTGATTCAAAAAAAGATTTTTGGTGAAGATCATGCCTCTGTAGCAACAAGTTATAACAACTTGGCATCAGTGTACGACAACCTGGGAGAATACAATCAAGCCAAAGAACTTCACGAAAAAGCACTTGTGATTCGCAAAAAGATTTTTGGTGAAGATCACGCCGATGTAGCAACAAGTTATAACAACTTGGCATCAGTGTACTGCAGGCTGGGAGAATACAATCAAGCCAAAGAACTTCACGAAAAAGCACTTGTGATTCAAAAAAGGATTTTTGGTGAAGATCATGCCTCTGTAGTAACAAGTTATAACAACTTGGCATCAGTGTACGACAGGCTGGGAGAATACAATCAAGCCAAAGAACTTCACGAAAAAGCGCTTGTGATTCACAAAAAGATTTTTGGTGAAGATCATGTCTCTGTAGCAACAAGTTATAACAACTTGGCATCAGTGTACGACAGGCTGGGAGAATACAATCAAGCCAAAGAACTTCACGAAAAAGCACTTGTGATTCGCAAAAGGATTTTTGGTAAAGATCATGCCGATGTAGCAACAAGTTATAACAACTTGGCATCAGTGTACGACAGCCTGGGAAAATACAATCAAGCCAAAGAACTTCACGAAAAAGCACTTGTCATTTGCAAAAAGATTTTTGGTGAAGATCATGTCTCTGTAGCAACAAGTTATAACAACTTGGCATCAGTGTACGACAGGCTGGGAGAATACAATCAAGCCAAAGAACTTCACGAAAAAGCACTTGTGATTTGCAAAAAGATTTTTGGTGAAGATCATGCCGATGTAGCAAGAAGTTATAACAACTTGGCATCAGTGTACGGCAGCCTGGGGGATTACAATCAAGCCAAAGAACTTCACGAAAAAGCTTTTGTGATTCGCAAAAAGATTTTTGGTGAAGATCATGCCTCTCTAGCAACAAGTTATAACAACTTGGCATCAGTGTACGACAGGCTGGGAGAATACAATCAAGCCAAAGAACTTCACGAAAAAGCACTTGTGATGCGCAAAAAGATTTTTGGTGAAGATCATGCCGATGTAGCAGCAAGTTATAACAACTTGGCATCAGTGTACCACAGCCTGGGAGAATACAATCAAGCCAAAGAACTTCTCGAAAAAGCACTTGTGATTCTCCAAAAGACTTTTGGAGAATATCATGCCGATGTAGCAACAAGTTATTACAACTTGGCATCAGTGTACGACAGCCTGGGAGAATACAATCAAGCCAAAGAACTTCACGAAAAAGCACTTGTGATTCGCCAAAAGATTTTTGGTGAAGATCATGCCTCTGTAGTAACAAGTTATTACAACTTGGCATCAGTGTACTGCAGGCTGGGAGAATACAATCAAACCAAAGAACTTCTAGAAAAAGAATTGAGGATTTCCGAGAAGATTTTCGATGAAGATCATTGTTACGTGGAAAGAGTTCGTAACGACTTGGCATTATTGAGCCACTATCAAAGAGTCGGTCGGTGTAGAGATCGTTGTGAGGAAGCACGGTGTTTGGTCCTGTGAGTTGTCTTACATTTGACGATAAGTGACGACATTTTTCCCACTTTTGTCGGGTCGACAAGCCCAACCCCGTGAGTGACAGACATCTCCAGGGGACGAATAGGAAAGACCCTGGGAACGAGGTTATAACAAGCCTTGTAAATAAGCAATAGCCCAGCTATCAAGATCCCCCGCCTCACTTTACGGAATGTAAATGAAATTACATGCACGTAACAACTGATGGGACGAAATCAGTTAAATTAATGTTATGTGTCTTTTAGGGGACAAACAGCTGACAAAGACGGTCACTGTCAGCAGTCGGCGGGGTTTGTATTTTGTTACAAAACAGTTTAACGAAAAACTTCCATTCGGGAGTGAAAGGCAGCCAAGACCGTTGTCAGGACAACTATTATCAAATACGGGTCAAGCGGCCCGTTTTTTGTGTTGGATACAATAACGACCGGAAACGAGAGTATGTATGTGCTATGTAAGTCCTCGCCGGGCGTGCAAAGATTGGGCGTGTCGTAAATCACCCACTCTGGGTGCCAGAGACTTTTCTAGCGCGGTTTCCGGTTTGTACTTCGCCGCTCGTGGCTTCGGCCTACTGCCGAAGATGTGTCTTTCAGCCAACACGGAAAATTCCCGCCGCAAGCGAAAAAGACCTGTGGTACCCAGGATATTAATCACCATGATTCAGTTTTTGTAATTTTATTTGGACTTCATCTTTGTTATAGTAGGGGTTCCTCTTAGATTTTCATGCACTTTCATTAAAATAGACAGCCCAAAATTATGGTTCATTTTATCTAAAATTTTGAAGGCATGCGTTCTCGAACTAAGTTTCCGTTTGGTTCATAGTTTGATTTCAAAGCAGTCGTTTTCAAGGAGCGAAGCGCGCCCGGCGAGTCTGACACGCTCTTAATACGGTTTGGCAGTAGGCCCACGAACCGTCTGGGCATAATTAAGGCGGAATTGAACTTGTCAACATTTTGTTTGTTTATGGACGATGGAAATATCCAATCTGTACCTTAAAATAAGGCTAATTTTTTTTATTGTACTAATGTGGGCGCGGGCTGTCGAGCACGATAAGAAGTAATTTTTTAATGATTTCCCCAATAGATGAACTTTTCAGTACAATTGTAACTTAACCTTTTAAACCCTAAGATCAAAATTGGAATACTCATTAGTTGCCCTTATTCATTTCCTACAGAAGTAGTGGGGAGAAGTTGATAAAATATCAAGCAAATTCATCTTGTGTGATCATGTCCGTAATTCTCATGACCACTCTGTTTTGGAAAGTCTTGATATTACAAGGAGAAATTTGATGCTGATCACTCTTAGGGCTTAAAGGGTTAAAAGTTTTCAAATTCGCTACATTGCGGATCGTAAGTGGGATCGTGCTTGCTATGCTATGCTGATGAGTCCTAACAAGGATGAAACAGCTGTCCATTGCTGCCACTGCCAGGGTGATATGGTTGTGTGCAGTGCGTAAGGTACTGGCTATACCGCGGAGTTGGTAGTGTGTGCTTCAGTTCATAATTGTGGTATTGATTTTAGCGATGTTGTTATGAATACATAATGCACAAATATAATCTTAGTATTAGCCATGACTTGCATTAAACTTGGTGGTTCTTAAAAATCCGGTGCTTTTGTTGCCTTCATGAGATCAGTGTGCAACATACATACATAGATGAATAAATTTTATTCAAGTGTCGAAAATTTCTATAGCATGCCTAAAAATGCTCACTAATCGAGTACACTTTTATCTAAAAATACGTTTATGACAATACAATATTTGGCGAGATTGATCACTGTAGGGTCCTATAGGTCACTACAGCCGTGATTATTATTTAGAACAAGTCCGAGTACATGTGTGCAATGGAGTAACCTCGTTCTCAACAGTGAAGGTCAAAAGAACTCGGGAGACGTTGGAAAAATCTTCCCAAGAAATTGTTACGTAGGACTCTGTTCCTACATGTAGTCACAATGTTTGCGTCGACTGTGGGTTCATCGCACCCCTTCCCCCAACTCCCCCGCCAATGTTGTGACCCCAAACGGAAACGGACTCATTTCCACCCATTTTGCGTATAATTCAACATTGTTTGGGGTGGGAGCGGGGAGGTCACTAGTCTTACTATTATCTTTGGGAGGGTCCCAACACCAGTTTAACCTTTATTGAAGGCTTGTTTCCATGGATGCTAACGTGGCTTCATTATTATTATTAAAGGATAGCTTCACCAGCAGAAGGTAGAACGGACAGTTAACCCAATGAAAATATGTCTTTGAAGTGACTCAACTTTTATTACAAGGAGAGTATATTTTGAGATGCAGTGAAACGAAAAATGCTTTGAAGCGAATCATCTTCATGATCCACTGAAACCACCTGTTGCGAAACGACTTTGCCCGAATGATTTTTTCGGTGAGGTTAAGTGCCTCGGGGGGTTCTACTGTTCTTATTAAAAACTCTGTCTGCAATGTTATCGCTCCGGATGCTCTGTACCCATTAGCTGCCTCTGAGTCTCCGCGATCCGAGGATACGAGCCCATCAATACAAAAAATGCATCTTTCATGTGTTTTAATAGTTATTTAGCTTTGGTACAGGCTATTTATATATGAATGTTTTCGGCCCAAAACACTCGTGGTCAATCTGAACAGTGTAGGATCTTCAGCGTTAGCAATGGAAGACAAGATCAGTTAAGGTGTAACCAGCTGTAAAGCAAAGATAACTCAGAGTGGTAAGAGCATTCCAGGTGAGCATCATAACTGGCCTGTGTACCTGGCGGTTTGTCGAGAAGGAAAAGAAGCTGCGAAAACTTACGCGAAGCGCGCGCGAACGGTCATTATTTCCATCCCATTCTCCTCTCATTTGCGCGCCTCCGGCTTTTTTGTGTTCATTGTTATTTTCATACAAAAATCTTGTGACTGTTTGGGGGCGCTTTGCTCTAAGAGGGTAAAAAGACTGCTTACTCTTTATGCAATGAGACTGGCTGTATAAAGCCAGACACAAAGGTTGTCACGCACCGAAGCTTGAACACGTTAAAACACTGTTTAGCTCGACGTGGTTTAATAGATTAGTATTTTACCTTTTTTTATATCTGGTTCAATTAAACGTTTATCGGCTCCTGGCTTGAACGACTTGAACAGATTGATACCTAGGTCACGCACTGTATGAATGTCACGTAAGATATCATTGGCGTGACTAGAGTTAATGCTGTCAGCGGTTGTTCACTTCATAGCTGATGAAAATGTGGTGAAATCCGAAAGCCTGTAAACCCACGTGCAGAATCCAGAAACAGTTTTTACCTTTTTTACTCAGTTTTACCTGATAGAACCTTCTTATTGGACTCACTCAAACTTAAGCAAAGTAAGGTACATAGTTTCATTTGAAAAGACAAAGATTTCATCGCAAAATGGCTGCAAACGAAGGCACAAATGGGCACGCGGAAGTTCCTTCCGACCTTGAAAAGAAAATTATCAAACAAATCGAGGTAAGCTGTAGGTTATTTTTGTTTTTATTAATTTGTTTTTCTGCCAAGAATCCCAGCGAATGGTTATTCACCTGAGAAGCATTTTAAGGCTAAAAGGAATGCTACCATAAGTGAAAAGGACGCTATTTTTGTACTGGTAAGCACAATTACCCATAAAATTTCCTTGCCAAGAGCGTTAGTTTCAGCTTTGAATGTCAGCATTTTGCCTTTATGTGTTAACCGCTTATGCAGAAAATAGAGTAAGCGTTAGGATGACTCTGTAGAGTTGCTACGTTCATGTATGTAGGGACGTTTTGACTACCGGTATTTGTGGGGCCTACTGTACATGTACATGTATCACAAAATCAAGGAGCTACCGTCACCCATGGTCAAACTGACTCATGACAGAATAGACACTTGTGCGAGTCTGCCTTACATTCATCTTAAATTATAACAATCAGTGCAGTGTAGCCAGTTTAAGGTTCCATTCATTAAGCAAGTTAGCTCATGATTACCAGTAAGAACTACAGTAGAACTCTTCAGTCACCCTAGCTAGTTGATCAATAAATAGGATGTTTTCTTTGAACATTCTGCCATGTTGTTCACCACTGTCTGGTCATGGGTGGGGAGGTTCCATTTTTTATCTGCAACCCCCTAAAGATGATGGGAATCTGAACCCGCGTTCTTTTTTTTGTTGGCACCTTTGAAAAATTTGTCTAAAGGGTCAAAATTTTGTGGGCTTCTTTGAAGGAAAAATCCAAACCCCCCTGTTGAAAAAAACCATCATCCTTAAGGGTTTTGCTAAAAGCAGGCCCATGGTCCAGCAGCCTGAGGCCCACGGCCCGTGACGGCCCCGCGGCCTGAAGACCCGAAGGCCTAGCGGCCCGGAGGCCCGGTGGCCCAGTCCTGATTTTCCATAGTTTTTTTGACCGGCGGTAAATCCATGTGCATGCACAGATCTGCATCGGGTTTGGGCGTGCAAAATGGACGACGGTGAGTTTGAATTCGTTTACCATTTTAATAATCATTTCAATCCTTTTCGATCCTTTCTTTCCTTGCATGTTGCTAAGTGAAAAACATTGTCATTCTCTGTTTATTCGTCTGTTTACAGAACCCAAAAGAGAGGAAGTCCTTTCTCAAACGATGTAAGTTATTTTCAAACCACAGTTTAAAAAACTCTGCCCTGCTCTCCTTTTGGGGTGGGGTTCCTGTCAATAGACCGACATGTCTCTGCATAGAAAAAGATTTGCAGTTCACATATCTCATTACTTATGATATTTTCACTTTCAAAGAATGGTTTGAAAGTAACTCACATCGTTCGATAATGAAAGTCCTCTATTGTGCTATCGGTTTCTCTAAAGAGACGAATGGACAGAGAATGAAAACGTTTTTATCTGAACAACATGCAACAAACAGAAACAAGGATTTAAATGATTAAAATGGTACGAAGAATTCAAACTCACCGTCATCAATTTTGCATGCCCTAAGCTGATGCAGATCTCTGCATGCGCGTGG